GGATTTGGGGGGATTTGGGGTAGATTTGGGGTGGATTTGGGGTGGATTTGGGGGGATTTGGGATGGATTTGGGGGGATTTGGGGTGGATTTGGGGGGATTTGGGGTGGATTTGGGGTGGATTTGGGATGGATTTGGGGGGATTTGGGGTGGATTTGGGGGGATTTGGGGTGGATTTGGGATAGATTTGGGTGGATCTGGATGGATTTGGGGTGGGTTTGGGGTGGATCTGGGTGGGTTTGGGGTTTGGGATGGATTTGGGGTGGATCTGGGGGGATTTGGGATAGATTTGGGGTAGATTTGGGGTGGATTTGGGGTGGATTTGGGGTGGATTTGGGGTGGGTTTGGGGTGGATTTGGGGTGGATTTGGGGTGGATTTGGGGGGATTTGGGGTGGATTTGAGGTGGGTTTGGGGTGGATTTGGGGTGCCCCATACCGGCCCCACGGGCATGCCCAGCGCGATCCGCAGCTCGTCCGAGAGATCTCCCGGCTTCTTCTCCTTGAGCCGCGTCTCAAACTCCTTCCCCTGGGGACAGCGCGGTCACCGAGGGGACACGGGGGGACACCGGGGGGTGACGGCCCCAAAAACCCAACCAGGGTGGCACCAAAGCCCCAAAATCCCACCAGGATGTCCCAAAAAACCACCAATGTCCAAGCAAAATGTCCCCAAAACTTCAAATATCCAACCAGGATGATCTCAGATCTCCAAATGTCCCCTCAGAATGTCCCCAGACCCCAAAATGTCCCCTCAGAACATCCCCAGACCCCAAATGTCCCCTCAGAATGCCCCCAGACCCCAAAATGTCCCCTCAGAACGTCCCCAGACCCCAAAATGTCCCCTCAGAACATCCCCAGACCCCAAAATGTCCCCTCAGAATGTCCCCAGACCCCAAAATGTCCCCTCAGAACATCCCCAGACCCCAAATGTTCCCTCAGAAGGTCCCCAGACCCTAAATCTTCAACCACGACATCCCCAAACCCCCCAAAATCCAACCAGAACGTCCCCAAACCCCAAAATGTCCCCTCAGAACATCTCCAAACCCCCAATCTTCAACCAGGACACCTCCAAAGCCCAGAAGGTCCAACTGAGATGTCCCCAAAGCCCAGAAGGTCCCCCCAGGACACCCCAGAAGGCCCAGGCCCCCCCCAGGTGTCCCCACCTCGTAGTAGAGGTCCCCGTGGATGGTCAGCTTGGGCTTGGTCTGCCACTTGAAGAAGGCGTCGTGCAGCTTCTGGTAGTCGATGTCGATCTTGCCCATCTTGGGCCGAACCTTCTCGCGCATCTTGGACTTCATCGTCTTCTGCTCCTCCTGGGGACACGTGGGGACACGGTGGGGACACGGTGGGGACACGTGGGGACACGGTGGGGACACGTGAGAGCCTCAGGGGCACCCACGGAGCCACCGAAGTCACCAAGTCCAACCAGGGCGTCCCCAGAGCTCCAAAATCCAACCAGGGCGTCACCAAAGCCACCAGGTGTCCCCAAGTCCAACCAGGGTGTCCCCAAATCCATCCAGGGTGTCCCCAAATCCATCCAGGGTGTCCCCAAATCCATCCAGGGTGTCCCCAAATCCAACCAGGGTGTCCCCAAATCCAACCAGGGTGTCCCCAAATCCAACCAGGGCGTCACCAAAGTCACCAAATGCAACCAGGATATCCCCAAGTCCCCAGGTGTCCCCAAGGTGTCCCCCAGATGTTTCCAGGTGTCCCTGAGGTGTCCCCAGGTCTCCCCAGGTGCCCCAAGCTGTCCCTGAGGTATCCCCACATCTCCTTGAGGTGTCCCCAGGTGTCCCCCAGGTATCCCCAGATGTCCCCTGCTGTCCCCAGGTATCCGCAGGTATCCTCAAGTGTCCCCAAGGTATCCCCAGGTGTCCCCAAGGTATCCCCACCTGTCCCCAAGGTGTCCCCAGGTGTCCCTGATGTGTCCTCAAGGTATCCCCAGCTGTCCCCGAGGTGTCCCCAGGTATCCCCAGCTGTCCCCAGGTGTCCCCAAGGTGTCCCCAGGTATCCCCAAGGTGTCCCCAAGGTATCCCCAGCTGTCCCCAGGTATCCCCAAGGTGTCCCCGAGGTATCCCCAGCTGTCCCCAGGTATCCCTAGCTGTCCCTAAGGTGTCCCCAAGGTATCCCCAGCTGTCCCTGAGGTGTCCCCAAGCTATCCCCAGCTGTCCCCAGGTGTCCCTGAAGTGACCCTGAGGTGTCCCCAGCTGTCCCCAAGGTGTCTCCAGGTATCCCCAGCTGTCCCTGAGGTATCCCCACATCTCCCCAGGTGTCCCCAGCCGTCCCCAAGCCGTCCCCAAGGTGTCCCCAGCCGTCCCCAAGCCGTCCCCAAGCTGTCCCCAAGGTGTCCCCAGCCGTCCCCAAGGTGTCCCCAAGGTGTCCCCACCTTCTCCTGCAGGGCCTCTCTCATCTCCTGGATGCCGGTGCGCTTGATGAACTCGGGCAGCTCGAAGGGCGGTTTCTCGATGCCCCTCTTGCCCTGCAGGTATTTCCTCTTGAAGCACCAGTGCCGCGGCACCGGCACCGAGTTCCGCGTGGCCTTCAGGTGCACCAGCAGCTTGGGGTCCTGCGCCGTCACGTCGTGCATCTCCACCACGTCGGGGCGGGCCACCAGCTGTGGGGACATCAGGGGACATCGGTCTGAGGTGACGCTGTGACCTCACGTCGTGCATCTCCAGCACGTCGGGGTGTGCCACCAGCTGTGGGGACAGTGGGGACAGTCTGAGGTGACACTGTGAGCTCCCAACGTGCATCTCCACCACGTTGGGGCGGGCCACCAGCTGTGGGGACATCAGGGGACATCAGTCTGAGGTGACACTGTGACCTCACGTCGTGCATCTCCAGCACGTCAGGATGTGCCACCAGCTGTGGGGACATTGGGGACAGCAGCAGGGGACAGTCTGAGGTGACACTGTGACCTCACATTGTGCATCTCCAGCACGTCAGGGTGTGCCACCAGCTGTGGGGACAGTGGGGACAGCAGGGGACAAAGGAAGGTTGCGGTGACGGAGCCCCAGGGTGGGGCTGGGGGCACTGAGGCGATGCCTGGGTGGGGACATGGGACACCAGGGTGGCACTGGAGGCCCTGGGGGGTGACAAGGACAAGACTGAGGTCCCCCAGTGTGGCACCAGTGTCCCCAGGGAGGTGACAAGGGGCCCAGGGTGGCTCTGGTGTCCCCAGAGGGGCTCCCAGGGGACAGGAGGTGTCACCTCCGTGCTGTCCCCAGCTCTGAGGGCCACCCACACCCAGCGGGGAGGGGATGGGTGTCCCCAAGTGTCCCCAAATGTCACCTGCTTCAGCTCGGCCACCGTGAACCTGTTCATGCGCCGCAGCTTCTTCTTGGACAGCTTGGGGACCTCCTGCTTCTTCTCCTGGGGACACGTGGGGACAGCGCAGGTGACACTGGAGGGACGCCCAGGGTGGCACCGCCCGCTGTCCCCATCCCTGTGCCCATCCCTGAGGCCACCTCAGGGACTGTCCCCTCTGCTGTCACCTCCCCCAGTGTCCCCAGCTCGGTACCAGTTGCCACCCCCTGTCACCTTCAATGTCACCCTGCTGTCCCCCTGATGTCCCCAGTGCCACCTGCTCGTGCTCAGAACTGGCCCCACCACTGCCACTACATCCAGTGTCCCCAGTGTCCCCCAATGTCCCCACGTCCCCAGTGTCCCCATGTCCCCAGTGTCCCCATGTTCCCAGAGTCCCCCACAGCCCCAGTGTCCCTCCATGTCCCCAGTGTCCCCAATGCCCCCACAGCCCCAGTGTCCCCAATGCCCCCAGTGTCCCAATATTCCCCCATGTCCCCGTGTCCCCACAGCCCCAGTGCCCCCAATGTCACCCCATGTCCCCATGTCCCCAATGCCCCCCATGTCCCCATGTCCCCATGTCCCCAGTGTCACCTGCTCGTCCTCAGAGCTGTCCCCATCGCTGCCCCTGGTGCCGTCCTCGGGTCCCTTTTTCCGGGGGGCCCCGGCGCTCTCGGCTCGTTCCGCCCGCTCCGGCTCCTTCTCCTTGTCCTTCTTCACCTCGTCCGTCAGCTGCCACACGGACACACGGACACACGGACAGGGACACACGGACACACGGACAGGGACACACGGACACAGGGACACACGGACACACGGACACACGGACACACGGACACACGGACAGGACACATGGACACACGGACACGACACACGGACAGGACACACGGACACAGGGACAGACGGACAGGACACACGGACAGGGACACACGGACAGGGACAGATGAACACATGGACGCACGGGACAGGACACAGGGACACACAACCGGACACACAACCGGACACACAACCGGACACAAGGACAGGGACACAGGTCAGGGTCACAGGTCAGGGGACAGCAGCACTCAGGGGTGTCCCCCAGCCCCCAGGGGTGACACAAAGGTGTCCCCCAGCCCCCAGGGGTGACACAAAGGTGTCCCCCAGCCCCCAGAGGTGACACAAACCCCTG